AGCCAGCCCATCAGTGTGGTTTGGGCACAGGTTCTGGGGGGCTGGGGCCACCAGCCAACCCCTCCATGAACTTCTGGACTGGGAGCCGGTCAGGTCTCGGTCCGGTTTTGCTCTCCACCAGCCGCTAGTTCGCGGCCAGGAAGGGCAGCTGCGGTGGCCGGCAGGGAACTATTAAGGCAGAGGCCAGAACTGCAGTTTCCAACATTTTGTCCTCGGGCAGGCTGCTGAGGAAAGGGGGGTCACGGAAAGCCCCCCGCTCTCATTCCAGGACCTGCAATGGGAGGGTGGCCAGGGTCGTGCTGAACCCCACGGGGGACCCCAACCCCACGCTCCAGGCACCCCCCAATTCTAGGGACTCACAGACCCCTGTCTGGGTCACTTCCCCTCCTCTTCCTCTGGTTCCTGCCTCCAGGCTCAGGGAGGTGGCTCATTTGCACCCAGGAGGGGAGGAGCAGAGAATGCAGCCTCTGCAGGTCTCCCTGCAGGAGAATCACCCAGATCTTAGCACCAGAACAGCCTCTGCGTCCACGTAGAAGGGCCACAGACAGGAGAGTTCTTAGAAAGTTCTTCAGGCACAGCCTCTGGGGATCCCATAGAGACTGAAGCGAGCTGGAAACTCCTCTCCCAGCAACAATTCTGTCCGTTGCAACCACTGTGGGTTCTAGAGAGCGTCCCCGCAGCACCTGTGTGATTTGTGGGCAAGTTATTTAAGCTCTCCCCCAGTTTCCCTCTTCGTAGAATAAGACAACACCTCCCCGTGGAGTAAATGAGGCCGTGGAAGCAGGATGCTGACCCACAGTTGGCCCTCCTGAATTGCTGGAAGCTCTCCCACCCCACCCCCACAACTCCAGCCCTGGATGGAAAATAAATACTAGCCTCGGCCAGCATTGCCCATACGCCTTCATTCCATCTTCGCGCCTGCCCTCCTTGGTTGGTGCGGTCATCATCCCCATTTTGCAGAAAAAGTAACTGAGGCTTAGAGCAATAACTTCCCCCTAAGTCCCTCAGCTCAAGGTGAAATCGGAAGGTGGGCACTCTGATGCCAGAGTCAGCTTTCCTAATCATTTATTACCTGGTCCCCCCTTCTGTTCTGTGTTAGATTTTTATTTCTGCCTTGGCAAAGGACCAGACTAAATGGCTTAAAACAACACCCAGTTTTTGGCTCAGTGTTCTTAAGTGAGAAGTCCGGGCACAACATGACTGTGTTCTTTGCTCAGGGTCTAACAAGGTTAAAAGGCAGGTGTCAGCCAGCTGCATGCTCCTTTGGAACTCCAGCTCCTGTGGCTGTGGCGGAATTTAGTTCTTAGTGATCATAGGAGGTCCCTGTTTCCTTGCTGACCGTCACGAGGGGCTGCTGTCAGCTTCTAGAGGTCCCCACATTCCTTGCCACGTGCCCCTGTCCATCTCCACAGCTAGCAAAGAGCTTCTCCTACTTCAGGGAAAGCCCACTCCCTTCCCGGGCTTATCTGATTAGGTCTGGCTCACCCCAGAAGGTCTCCCTTTCTTCAAGTCAGCTGGGCCGTGACATAGGCTCATCATGGGAGTGAGTATCCCATCCCCAGGTCTGGGGGCATATATAGGGAGTCTATTTCGGGGGGCAGGAATTGTGAGGGCATCTTAGAGTTCTGCCTCCCTGCGTGTGCCTTCTCCACACCTGGCACATACGCCCTTGATAACACCTTTAATACTTCCTGCTAATCTTGAAGGTCCTTGAGGGCACTGGGGCAACCACCATGGAGTGTTTTCATATTTTAACAACGAGTACAGCCATATAGATTCCTGCAGAACAGCATACAAATATCTAGTCTGAGATAGGAGTATATTCTCCTCCACTACCCTTCCTTCAACCTCATCCCATATCCCAAAACTCTGGGAAGCAGACATTGACCCAGCAAATATAAGAGAGAAAGGAAGAAATCGTTAAGGATGTCTGCTGTCCTCATTTTCACAGTAGGGAAACTGAGTCTGAAACAAGACTCCCAAGCCACCCTGGGTGGCTCAGTCGTTTAAGCATCCAACTCTTGATTTCAGCTCAGGTCATGATCTTAGGGGTGTGAAGTCGAGCCCCACATCTGGCTCAGTGCTGGGCGTTGAACGTGGAGGCTGCTTAAGATTCTCTCTTTCCCTCTCCTTCTGCCCCTCCTTTCCCACCCCCTTGCAGGCTCTCTCTCTCTCTCTCTCGTTCTCAAAAAAAAAAAAAAAAAAAAAAAGACTCCCAGCCCAGTGCTCTCTTCAGGAAACCCTGCTGATTTCCAAATGCAGTTTCTATCAAGATGCTGCGTCCACGGCTCCTGACTTTCTAGAAAAAGCCCCCCCACTCCATGACACAGGGCTTTCTTCACTGTGTGTGTGTGTGTGGCGGGGGTGTTTGGGAATTCTTCACACAGAGGTCCACTTAAAAGGATGTCAGATTCACTCGTGCATCACCTAAAATACAACTTCCTTTGATTTTGCCTCTTTTGATTCTTTCTCCATTTGTGTTTCTATATCAAAGAGTTTAAACCACTTTGCTGGACTTCAGGCTCTGTCTTCCCAAGAGTTTTAATCATGTCCGGGCACAGCTTCTTATCCTCAGACACAGGAGAGGGTTCCAGATGAATAGCAACACCAGGCTTGATGAGCTTGAGTGGGATTTGCTCCTGTCGGTGCCTCCCCGGGTCCTGCGGGGAGAAGCTCTCATACTGGCTTTGCCTCCTCCAGCCCAAAGCCTTTCCCCCCACCTCTCTCTCCACAGGCAGTTCTGCTCAGACCCCTGGGCTCAGAGGGGGCGGTGCTAGACTATAAACTATACAAAGGCTGGGTCTGCATTCAGCTTAATCACTGCTTAATCTCCAGGTCTTAGCACAGAAGCTGGACAATCGCAGTTCCTCAACTAATGCTTGCTGAATATGGGTGCCTAAATGAATAGAACAGATCTTGAAAATCTGATTCAAAAGCTCATCTCCATTGTCCCTGAAAATTCTTTTGATATTATGGGCCCACAGCACTGGCGGCCAAGATTTCTAGAGTGGGCATTTCACTTACTCTTAGGAAGAAATCTGGGGAGGAGAGGTTCTACACCAGTCAGCTTGATGCCTGCCCTGAAGCGGCCCACTGGGGCCTTTGATACTTGACTTAGATGCTCTATGTCTCTTTCTTCATCCTTAAAACGGGGGTTAATGGGGCGTTGCATTAAATTTCACTTCAAGGAGTGTTTATGAATATATATTTACATTTATATTTATATTTATGTTTGTATTCATACATATAGTCTTTCCCTAGATCCTCATAATGGCCCCCAGAGCTGGAATGGCAGAAAATATTATCTGGGGTTTATAGCAGAGTAAATTGAGGCAAATAAAATGAAGACGGTTTTTCCTTGGGTCACAGAACACGTTTCTTAGAAGCTGATCCTAGAACCCAGATCTTGCCCTGGGCTGAGCGAGGAAAAACTTCTGCCAAGGATTCTAGCACACTTGGAGGATGGATGCCAATCTCAAATCAGAAGTGAATCCTTACCCTGTCTGCTGGACACACAAAAAATTCTCTGGTCTTGACTGAGGTGTCCTAGAAAACCTTTCTCTGTTTCTAGTACAGGGCAAGGCTTTCTCCTACAAGAACATATGAAAGTATATTCAAAAATAAAGAAGGAAACAGTGCAGAAAATCAGCAGAAAAGCTATTTCTCTGGAAGATATGAGGGCAGGAGAATGTGCTTTGCCAGGTGCCCTAGCCGGTGACTCATTCTGGCCAGCACTGGGTCTGCCCTGCCCAACAGCAGTGGCTTGGGGAGTCCATGGGCAGCCCTCCGATCAGACCTCTCTCTGGGTTCCAGTAGCTGGGTTCCCAGGAGCCCCCAGGGCATTGGGAGTAACAGCATTTCTCACCCTTTCTGGGCATCCCTGAGTTCTCAGTAAACAGTCTCCAACCTAGGGGCAAAGCAAAACCATGCTTAGGATTCTGCAAAGCAACATCAAGCATCCAGCTCCTCATTTCATTTATCTTTGTAACTGCCATGTGAGGGAGCGGGGAGCAGGTGGCCCTGTGCAGAATGGGAAATGGCCAACAGACATCTGAAACAAACAACCCTTCAGATGACCCTTCAATATGATATTTTAAAGGTTACCTTGAAATTGTCACAACTACCAAGGTAGCAAAGAAAAAGGTATGCCAGGATCTTCTGACTTTCCACGTTGGGGGAAATCTTCCTTCATGGCTTATAGAACATTCATCCGGGTTGTTCTATCAGGTTCATTGTTTCCAAGGAGTGGAACTACCTGTGAAATCAAAACAAACTTGCTTGTAAAGATGAAGGGCTGAGTAATGGCATCCCCTGAGGAATTCCCCCAGGATTCGAAGCTCATAGAACTTTCTGGAGCGAGCAGCTCATCAGTCTAAGCAGGAGCCACAGAACATCAATGTCTGCAAGCCACTGTGTGGTGGGTACTGTGAGACCCCATGCTGGAGCAGATGAACCTAGATTCAAACCCTAACTCAGCCACTTAACTACTTGAGCTTCGTTGTTTTTGCCTGAAGATTAGAGGGATAATAGCCGTTCTTCTCTAATAACTTTGTTGTGAGGATTATAAATGAGCTAATGGATATAAACTTCTTAGCACAGTGCCTGGCTCATGAACGCTCAGAAATTTAAGCTGTGATTATTAGCTGTGGAGATTCTCATGGTCTTTCCTAGCTGCATCAGAGTCTTAAAGTATTTTCAGTGGGAGTGAGCGGAATATCTGAAAAACAGCGGACCATTGCAGGTGTCTGGGTGTTTCTTTAAAGTGTGGCATATACTCCAAAACATGGTACAGGCTTTTTGAAAAGCAATTTTTTATTGAGACATTTTATTGAGATAACAGACATGTAATGTATTAGTTTAAGAGATACAACATAATGACTTGATATATGTATATTTTGGGAAATATAGTTTATAGTTTAGTTAACATCTGGCACCATATATAATTACAATTTTTTCTTGTGATGAAGACTTTGAAGACCTACTCTCTCGGCTTCTTTCAGATATACAGCACAGTATCATTAACTATAATAGCCACGCTATACATCACATCCCCAGGACTTCATTTGCAACTAGAAGTTTGTACCTCGTGACCACCTTACCCATTTCGCTCGCCCCGTACACCCTCTCCCTGGCAACCACCAATCTGTTCTCCGTATCTGTGAGTTTGGCTTTCATTTGTTTGTTTTTGATTTCACATATAGGTTTATAGCCCTTTTGAAAACCTCAGGGGCATTAATATCTTGTCCATTTCAGGTTTTTAGACGGCAGGGAATTACTGTGTCAAGATTTTTAATGGTGGGTCTACACAGCGATTTGTCATATTCGTAAGTGCTTGGACAGCCACAGACTCCTCCCCTCAGACAGTAGGAGTGACCACATGGTGAATCAGACACTCACTGCCTTTTCCTTTCTGTCTGCTGCTAAGATCTGAGACATAAAGAAAGGAGACAGGGAGATATAAAGAAGAAAGCACAGGCTCTGGGCCCTGTGAGCAAGAATCCAGATACCCACTCTGCCAGGTAAGTGTTTGGTGGCCCAGGTTATCACTTAACCATCCACCTTTTTGGGGCTCTTATTTATTTTTTTATTTATTCATTCACTTATTCAACAAGTGCTTTTGGAGTATACAGTATGTTCTGGGCTACCCTCTGGGTATTTGGAATGTATGAGGGAACAAAACAGACGTACCTGTGCCCCGTGGAGGTTACATTCTAATGGAAGGAGAGAGACTCCTAGAAATAAATATGATGCATAAGCAATCAGTGTTTACATACTGGAGATCAAGCTCCAACTCCAACCAGTTGCTGTGATAACAAGTGACAGTCTGGATGTACTGCATGGACTAGAGCAGGCACTTAATAAATTGTTGTGATTATTATTTTTTAATTGCTCCCAGATTTCTTAAATCCTTTCAACACCATGTGTAGTTTGCACCTACGTATTTATTCATTCAACAAACAACTATTGAGCTGCTATTATATGCTAGAATCTGTAGGAGGTGCCAGGGATACAAGCAAATAGTATAAAAAAAAAAAAAAAACACAGTCCCTGCCCTTGAGGACTCTGCGGTAGGCTCCACTGTGCACTAGATGAGGACCCTTGAGAGCACAGAGGCAGGAGTGACCTTGAAATCTTGTGTTTCTGTGAATCAGCACAGCCCCCTTCACTGATGATGTCTTTTTTAACTCAATGCATCCCAGCTATGGCTGGTGATTCTAGGAATGCTATGAACCAGGATATGGAGATTGGGGTCACTCCCAGGGACCCAAAGAAGATCCCCAAACAGGCCCGTGATTACATCCCCATTGCCACTGACCGTACTCGCCTGCTAGCAGAAGGCAAGAAGCCCCGCCAGCGCTACATGGAAAAGAGTGGCAAGTGCAACGTCCACCATGGCAATGTCCAAGAAACCTACCGATACCTAAGCGATCTCTTCACCACCCTGGTGGACCTCAAATGGCGCTTCAACCTGCTTGTCTTCACCATGGTCTATACCATCACTTGGCTGTTCTTCGGTTTCATTTGGTGGCTGATCGCTTACATCCGGGGTGATCTGGACCATGTTGGTGACCAGGAGTGGATTCCTTGTGTTGAAAACCTCAGTGGCTTTGTGTCTGCCTTCCTGTTCTCCATTGAGACAGAAACCACCATCGGGTATGGCTTTCGGGTGATCACAGAGAAGTGTCCGGAGGGGATCATACTCCTCTTGGTCCAGGCCATCCTCGGCTCCATCGTCAATGCCTTCATGGTGGGGTGCATGTTTGTTAAGATCAGTCAGCCAAAGAAGAGAGCAGAGACCCTCATGTTTTCCAACAATGCAGTCATCTCCATGCGGGACGAGAAGCTCTGCCTCATGTTCCGGGTGGGTGACCTTCGTAACTCCCACATTGTGGAGGCCTCCATCCGTGCCAAGCTCATCAAGTCCCGGCAGACCAAAGAAGGGGAGTTCATCCCCCTGAACCAGACAGACATCAATGTGGGCTTCGACACTGGGGATGACCGTCTCTTCCTGGTGTCTCCACTCATCATCTCCCACGAGATCAACGAGAAGAGCCCTTTCTGGGAGATGTCTCGGGCCCAGCTGGATCAGGAGGAGTTTGAAGTCGTGGTCATTCTAGAAGGGATGGTGGAGGCAACAGGTAAGACACTTTATCTTCCTTGGCCACAGAACTCTCCCACGTGCTGGGAACCTAGGCCACCAGGGCTAGAAGATGGCAGTTGGTGCCTGAGAATCCTGGGATTCTCATCCAGCCCAATCTCTAACTGTGATCTGAGGGGTGTTGTCATTCAATCAAGATGGACTGATAACAACAACTAATGTTTACTGAACCCTCTAACTTCTGGACATAGTTCTAAACTTTAAACAAACAGTATCGCACTTAATGCCTTCCCACTCTCTGTAAGATGATGTTCCTTAGGTTACAGATAAAGAAACAGAGGCACAGACAGGCAAGTTATCAGTCTAGTTTCGTCCAAGAGTAAGTCATAGAGCCGGGATGCCTGGGAAGGCAGGGGACCCCAAAGCTGGCCCTTGTTTTCGACAGACTATCTTGCCCCACCACATCCTGGGGCATGTGTCTACCCAAAAAGAGTCTTGTGATCAGATAACTTGGAGAAATACAGTGAAACAAGGTGCACAGGCTTCTTCACAGTAGGACTTCGTGGTATCTCTACATGCCATGAATCACTCTGTGATTTCCCAAACACAAGGCTTCTCAAAGTCACAGAATCCTCTTTTTGAAGAGGTGTCTATACCCCAGACCTGTGAGGGCAGCTCTTCTGGCTGCCATCCCCGCCCCCCCGCCCCCCCCCGCCCCAGGAAGGCTGTCCCTGAGCTTCCCTGTGGAAGGCTGGCTGAGTGAACAGGGGACGAGCCGAAACCAGTCCATCTGCATCCACATAGGCCCAAGCAGATGCCCTCTTCATGGCCGGCCCGGCACCTCCCTGCTCAGCTCTCAAGTCTCATGGGCAGCCAGCAGCCAGGAACTTCCACCATTGCTCAAGGCCAAGGCATCGGTGCAGGGCTCCAGGGAGCCCGAGGCCAGCAGGAGCACGAGGCCCAGGTCCCACCACTCCTGCCTGAACTCCTGGGGAGAGGAGCCCTCCCGCAGAACCCTGCACCCTGCTTCTTACTCCCTTTCTTCCCCTTTCCCTCTCTTCTTGTCACCCGGTAGACTGAGCACTTGTAGAAAACTCACTCAGGCTCAAAATGATATGTATTTTTCCAATTTCTGCAGCGACACCGGAGAACCACGCCAATCCCATTTAACAGACGTAGATGCTGCACCCAGCTTCATGCAGACGGTGTTCGATTCAGGTCTTTCACTTATGAATCTTAAGTGTTGAGATTTCAGGGGCTAGTCACAAAGATGGCCAAACAAGACTTCCTCACCTTTCGGGAAGCTGGTTGCTGTGCGGGAAACTCCGATGGGGCATCCACAAACCTTCTCATTCGGCCGGAGCCCGTGGGACCTGGTCGGGGTGCGAACAGGCTCCGGGGACTGGCATGGAGGGGGCTGCTCGGCCATCTGCTGGGAGCTGGAGCCTGGCCAGGCAGCATATGGTGGCAGCCGAGGGAGCCCCTGGGGCCAAGGACAGCCAGGATGCAGGAAGCCTGCGGCAGAGCTGGGGGCTCGCAGGTCATGCTGCCCTTGGTGCTGGGCTCGGGAGCAGAACACCGGCTGAGTTTCTGGGGGAAGAGCACCACTCTGAGGCCACAAAGGAGGGGTCAGGTCAGAGATGTGGGGACAAACAGGAGAGTTGTGCCTTACAGTCCCCCCGTGCCTTCACTGCCACCTACTGTGGAGGGATCAGGGGGTGACCCAGCTGATCTGGTCCCTCCCCTGAGTATCCTTCAACATCAGTGGCCCCCGGGTGACCTGCCCTGTCTAGTTGACCTCCTTCCCTCCCATGAGTGCAGGGGGCCCCGGGGAGACAAGGGAAGGAGAGCCCCCCACCCACATCTGTTCTCATCTCCGCGACTATGGTGGCCTGATGGCCACATTACAGAGCAGAGCATGCGCTGCTGATTCAGGCCGAGTTTGGACGAGCACAGCCCTGCCATAGCCTGCCTGTGTGTGTCTGGGCAAGTTGCTTAACTCGTCAGCAAAATGAGCATAATACAACTCACGGGGTCGTTGGGGGGATTAGACGATTCGATGGAATATCATACATAAAGCACAGTGCTTGGCAACCACAGGGGCTTCTTTCCTTCCCAAATGCATGCGAAGATGAGTGCCAGGGACAGAGGTAGGGTCTCTTGATACAGGGGGTCCACTGCCACATCCCAAGGGGTAAAACAAATCAGGAAAGCCTCCAGGAGATATGTCCCACAGGTTCCCGTGGGGGTCCTGTCCGCTGTCTTTCCTGAGGCCCCCAAGCCTGCAGACACCTGGTCTGGGTCTAGGCTGCTCAGTGCCCAGCTCGGGGCATCTGCTGAGCTGTGACGGGGGAGGACTGCATGGAAAGGCCTGGCCCAGGCCAGACCCAGGGAGCAGAGAGCAGGCTGCAAGCCCACAGTGTGGGGGGCACCTCAGGGGTGCCCAGCACTGGAGCACAAATGGGTGGGAAGCAGCCTTGCACTTGGGTCTGGTGTGCACGAGGCCCCTGCCAGAGAAAGCCCACCCTGGGAAGCTGGAGCCAGCTTCTCCTTCGTTCCCGAGAGCACACGCCAGTACCTTCCTTGGCCAGAAGATTAAATATCAGCAAGCTGTTTTCCTGTGACCCCAAACACAGAGGCTTCTTCATCCATAAACAAAGCTGCTCTCCTCCCTGGAGAGAAAGCAACACCTAAAAATAACATAGGCAAGCAAGGGCTGAGGAGACAGGGAATGGAGGCTTTGGAGCATGCTGCAATCAAGGAGCCAAGGGGTGTGTGTGTGTGTGTGTGTGTGTGTGTGTGTGTGAGAGAGAGAGAGAGAGAGAGAGAGAGAGAGGCTTCTGCCCATATGTGTCTACCCCAAACAATCCCTGTGTGCCCTATAAGATGGTCAGCTTCTCTACATTCACTCCATCTGAATTTATCTTTTTTTTTTTTTTAATTTTAAACATTTTTTTTTTAAGATTTTGTTTATTTATTTGAGAGGGAGAGAATGAGAGAGAGAGCACCCGAGAGGGGGAAGGGTCAGAGGGAGAAGCAGACTCCCTGATGAGCAGGGAGCCCAAAGCGGGACTCGATCTTGGGACTCCAGGTCATGACCTGAGCCGAAGGCAGCCGCTTAACCAACTGAGCCACCCAGGCGCCCTGAATTTATCTTTGTTCAAACCCTTTTCCTGCCTCTTTTGTGTCTCAATCTTCGAGACCTTAATGCTGTTCTCAGGAACCACGTCCCTGGCTCTAGCTCTTCCAGAATTATCCACTCCAGTCTCTAGGAACCTACCCCGGAATCTCGCATGTTGGTTTCTAATGTTCTGCCTCTAGCACACCTTGAACTCCTCCAGGGCGAGGACTGTCTTATTCAGCTCTACACCTCCGGGGTGCTTAGCCCAAGCAGAGGTACAACAAATGCTGGCTGGCTGGCTGATGGACGGACGGCTGATGGACGGCTGGCGGTGGCCACTCCTAATCTCCGTGCCTTCTGTCCCCACAGGCATGACTTGCCAAGCACGGAGCTCCTACATGGATACCGAGGTGCTCTGGGGCCACCGATTCACACCAGTCCTCACGTTGGAAAAGGGTTTCTACGAGGTGGACTACAACACCTTCCATGACACGTACGAGACCAACACGCCCAGCTGCTGTGCCAAGGAGCTGGCAGAAATGCAGCGGGAAGGCCGGCTCCTCCAGTACCTCCCGAGCCCGCCCCTGCCGGGGGGCTGTGCTGAAACAGGGCTGCGTACAGAGGCCGAGCAGGAGGGAGAGGACGAGCCTGAGGGGCTGAGTGGGTCCCGGGAGAACAGGGGCTCCGTGTGAGGACTGTACTCGCCCCCCGACCCCCCCTCCCTGGCCTCTGAGCACAGTACCTGCTGCAGAGCTGGGGGGAGGAGGGGTGAAGGAGCTGAGTGCGCTGTTGGGGGGCCCAGGAGCCATCCAGGCTCTGTGGGGAGGAACAGGATATCCGTCCTGGAATCTCCCAGCTCAGGCCTCCCTGAGCATGTGGCCCCGCGCCTGGACCCCTGAGGCAGCCCTGCCTCTCTGCTCCCAGCTTCCGTCAGCACGGCTCAGGGCCAGGCCGGGATGGGGTTCCCCACAGTGAGAGCTACCGGGCAGCCTCTGTCTCCGCACACACGTCCCACTGGCCAGGGTCACCTCCCTGCTTGGGTCTCACAGACCGACCAGCAGCTCCCCTCCAGGGGCTGACACCTGGACAGGGCCGTCCCCCCCCAATTCCTACCACCCGGAGGCTTGCTGTGGGTTCCGCGTGGAGAGATTCTGCCCACCTGGAAGCGCCACCCCCTGGTCCCAGAGTGAGCTCGCAGACCTCATGCGTCAAGGTCCATGCGAGTTAGGCCGGCAGTCCCTGTCAGCTCCCAGCCTATTGTCCACTGCCTGAGAGCCATGGAGGACGGGGCCCTAATGGTCTCTTATCATCTGTGAAGCATATGCGTCTCCTCTGCTGTGTTCTGCGTGTCACGTGTAGCCTACTAGATAACTGATCTCCTTACAGTGACCCTCAGAAGGTGGCTTGGGCCACAGCGCAGCCCCGAGCACATGGAAAGCTGTCATCAGCCGCGTCCTGGCCATTCCCGACCGCACGGGGGCCCGCTGCTCCCACCCAACGGAGAACCCAGCGGCCCGTTCTTTTCTGGTACTTCTGGCCCCAGAATCTCAAAGTACTTATAACCTTCACCATAGCTCTTTTCCACCGCCTCAGCCTGGGGTGTGATCCATGGAGAAAGCTGGGGTTCCGAAGGCAAGATGAGCCAGTCAGGACGGAAACCAGGAGGGGGGAGGAAAACAGAGGGGCAAGGAATTAAATGTTTAAAATAAGCATCCCCACCAATCACTGCAGAGATATTCTGACTCAGGCTCAGCACCCCTATCTGGGGGGAGGTGGATGGGAGGCACAGCGAGGGGGTTCCCCCCCACCCGGGATGACCTGGCCTTCAGGTCCAGCTGAGAAGCCCCTGGGCCTCCTCCCCACAGACTGGGCCGGGAGAGCCCACATGAGGCCTCAAAAGGGGGAAGGGGAGGAGACGGGTGAGGGCAATCCGTGGGGGAATTGGAGAGCCAGTGAGCCTCAAGAGAGAAAAGAGCAGAGAGCAGAGAAGAGCGTTAAAAAGGACAACTTGCAGAGGGCTCTTCTTTTCCGGTCTGGAGGCCCAGGAAGAGGACAAGGGGACAGGGTGCATTGTCGTGTCAATGAGGCGCGTCTGGTATGTGTTGAGGCCGACAGGGCCTGAGTAGCTGACCTGGACCTGGAGAGAGGTCGCAAATGTTTCCTGGCCACAGAATTATGGAGCCACAGAATTATGATTTTCACAGCTCTCAGCTTGCCTTTGATAATGGAAGCATTTACCTGCTTGCTCCGAGGCACCTTCCCTGGGAGTGAGCACAGCACCCAAGTGAGGCAGAGGTTAAGGCGGAGCAAAGGGAATGGCTTTGGGATCTCAGGCCCACAGCCCCTCAGGCTGGGTGTTCTAGGTCCAGGGGTTGGTGAGAAGAGGAGACAGGCAGCCTGAGGTGGGGAACTACCTCTCGTGGGGCTGTCATATGCAGAGGAAGGGGATCCTTGTGTTTGGGCCTGTGGATCTTGAGAGGAGGGCCTGGATCTTGAGAGGAGGCACAGGGACACAGGGAGCAAGAGGGGCCCTTCCCTCCCCAGGCATGGGGCTGAATCCTGATTCCAGGCGTTTTTCTGTGGCAAAGCAGGTCTGGAGGGAATGGAGAATGCCCTGGAATCCTGCCCCCATGGAAAAAGGAAGCAGGCAGCCTTGAGCACCCCGGTGGGGAACTACATGCTATCAGGAATCTAAGGATGCCTTGGGGGTGGTGGGAGGATCTACAGCTGGAACTCTCAGTGTGGGGTCAGTACTCACCCTGGGCCTGGCAGACCTGGGGCTTGCACAGCAGGACTATTTCCTCGCCCCCCCACCCCCCAGCCAGATCTAAAACTGGCCTTAGTCAAAACCCATCAGTGCCTCTCAGTGAGGCAGCTAAGCAAGGATGGGGACAGCGAGCCACTCCCCAGTTCTCGAACTCTGCGGCGGCCTCCGTGAACCCAGGCCCTATCATGTCTCTGCCAACTATAGAAGCCGTACCGGCTGGAGAAGCAGATGAGATCAGTACATCCCAGCTCCCTGAGAGGTCAGAGCCCACAGCACTGCGATTAGTCATATTAGCTGCTTTCTCTCATGAAAATTCAAATGCAGGAAGACTGCCTTTCATATCCCAAGGAAGTCCTTCTTCATGTCCAGTTGATACAACTGAAGTTAGAAACATCCTTCAGATAGTTTTCTGGAAGTTCTTGTGTAAACATGCACTCACTAAGTGTAAAGTCAATGAGGGCCAGAGTTTCAGTCGATCACACACCAGTCACATGTGGGTCATAGCACTGAGCTATAGAACTCTGAGCCCACGCATCACTTCTGATGGGTCACAGAGCTGAGCAAAGCCAGTCTATAAGGTGAGCCCACTGGTAACTCCCATAGGCTTCAACATCTCCCAAATCCCAAAGCAGGATCTCACAGGTCAGTGCCTGAAAGCATTGGAAGCTAACTTCCTGTCTTAGCTTCCAAGACCTCCCTCCCTGAAATCGTCCCCTATAAGGGAGGAGCCCCCGAGAACTCAGAAGCAGGTAAGCTCCCAGTAAGTCTGACCCATGTAGTAGTTGACAGCATCGCCCAGGACCTTGTTTCCAGACCAGGTAGAATGGGTGTTGCCTGTGACCCCCACCTTCAGGGGCCGCCTTTGGGCAACCAGAACCCACATCCTGTCATTTCCTTCGCTGCTTTAAGATCCTGGCCTGAGCCGTTGACCTCGCTGGAGGAGAAAAAGCCTGTGTCTGTCTGGGGAGAACCACCCCCCCCCTTGCTCACCGCCTGCAACAACTGGGCACCTTCTTTCACAGTCCTTATCCCAGGCCCTGCTTTCCAGTCTGCCTCCACCACGTGTCCCATGTGAGGGCCATAGCAACTTAAAAATTTTGTACTGAAATTACCAAAAACAAACACACACACACACAAAAGTTGCCTGTTGTGTCCTAAGATGCCCTGAACACAGATCGGCGCATACGCCCTTTCCGGAGCACCTACTATGTGCCCAGCAGTGGGTTAGGCGCCTCACCTGGATGACTGCACTTAATTCTCAAACGCTACAGAGAAGCTCTTAGTAACCCCTTGTTACCAATGAGAGAAGTGAGGTGCCGAGAGGTTAATTCGTTTGCTCAAGGCCATAGATGATAATAGGCAGGGCCTGTGAGCCAAGCACCTCCCCAGCAAATACAGAGAGGCTATCAGCGTGCATAGCAGGAGTAAGGAGAGCCCCACCTCTTCTGATCACCAATTTCTGGGCTGTGCTGTGGAGCTTCAGCTTCCATCCACCAGCAATCTTCTCCTGTGGCAGGATAATTGGGAAACACCTTTTTCTGATGCCTAGAGAATTAATGAGCTGTGAAAAGAAATAGATGGGGAATTATTGCTTTCTGGAAAAAGCCACTTATTCTGCTTGGCTTGTTTTTTTTGCTAACGACATCTCCTTAAACTGCTGTGTCAAATCTCTTTCTCCCTGTGTAAGATTTGTCAATCTTCTTATTAAAGAGAACATCCTTGCACTGCTAAAAAAAAAAAAAAAAATCATCCAATAAAGTGGATTTGATCTTACAGAACACTCTTTCCCATTTTAAGTAGATGGCCACGGGGTTTCCCGTTCAAAGTCACTGCCAGTTGAAGCAAACTTGTCCTTGTTCTCATTAGTCTAAAAATGCAGCATCAGTATCTAGAGTAGCTTGGAGGTGAGAGTGTGGGCACAGATTGGGAGGAGACTGGATTGAGGAGAGCCGGACCCAGGGTCAGGGCTCAGCCTGCAAGAGCAAGCAACATAAGCAGCGTGGATTCTCATATTAGACCATTCATTCCCTCTCCCCAAATCATTTTCACACACGCGTTAGTGTTAAATATTCAGAATCTCCGTTGCCTCAATAATGAGTAACTTTTACAAGATCCACCGTAGGGAGCCCCAGGACTGGCAGTCTGCATTCATGGCACTAATGGGCAAAGTGTTCGCTCTCGCTGAACAATGGAGCACGGGCAGAGGAAGCTGTGATATTTAACATTAGCACAGGGCTTCAGGATTTTTTAAGGTAAGACCAAATTTCTGTTGGTAGCCGTAGAGGGTTTTCGATTGATTGGCTTCTCTTCCGCTCTAGCCAACCCAATGAGAATGGAACGGTCCAGATTTTCAAAGGAGGTTGACTGATGCTCCCTCCCTCAAACCATTCTGAAAGGATAAAACAACTTGCCAGGGTTGTTCCCCATCTAATAATTCCCCATCTTGTTCATATAGAACCAGGAACAATATTTTAACCCACGAAGGGCCATGCGGCCCTGGCGTGCGTGGGAGCGTTTCCCGTGTCTGGCTCAGAGGTGGCCCATGGTAACGAGGTCTGTCTGGGGCCACTCAGGCTGCTATAACAAAAATACCATAGGCTGTCTGGCTTAAATAACAAGCACACATTTCTCATAGTTCTGGAGTCTGGGAAGTCCAAGATCAAGGCTCTGGCAGATTGGGTGTCTGGTGAGGGCCCGTTTCCTGGTTCACAGAGGCCTGGTCCCCTTCACAGGCCCACCTCCTGATAGCATCACATTAGGGGTTAGGATTCCGACATATGAATTTGGTAAGGACACAAGCATTCAGTCTATAAGGCATAAGCAGATTAGTGCATGTGACCAAGGCCAAAAGGGGTGCAGGGCCTCCAAATTAGCCTTGGGCCCAAGTCCCTGGTAATATAACAGGGGAGCTGCCTTCCTGGTGGTGAAGGAAAGAGAAACCATATGCAAGGGTCAGGAAGCTCTGGGAATGGCTGGCTGTTTGCCTTCAGGAATGCCTCTTGGCCAGGGACTACACTACAAATACTGTGCAAGATCAGAAAGAAGACGCGACGTCCAGGGCCAAGAAATGGATCCCTCAAGGGGCAGTTTGCCAGTCAAGCCTAGATGTCAATTTGGTGAAGGAGAACTATACACACATTGCTAGTAAAGGAGCAAAAACCCAAATGTTACCCTCAGAAAACCCACTCTGGCCCAGTCTTTGCTTGTGCTAGGCCGACGACCCACATAAGGCACACAGTCTGGCCATCCCTTTAGGCCCTGCTAGATGCCAGCCATAAGGCATGTTGACTACTTTAGGGCAATTAAATGTCTAGGGAGGAGTTTCGGAAACAGAAACATTCCTTTTTCTCTAAGAGACTACTTTTACTCAGAAGCTCCTACTTAAATAACCTCAACTTTCTCAGTTGAGGCAAAAATCCCAAATCACAGGGGAGGAATTAATGAGAATTTGAGTGCATTAGCATATGCTTTGAGCTTCCTTCTCTACCAAGTGGCAATAGCGTAGGTGGAAAAATCTAGGGCTGAGTGGGGTGAGGCTGCTCATAGTAAGAAAGTAGGTGACGTGTACGCACATTTAGGATGCCTTTGTGCACATACACTGAATGTCATTGCCACATTCCAGATCGCCTCTGAAATGAACACGCTCATGGGAGCGACTGCAGTCAGCCCTGCGGGATTTGAACACCTACGTGGTAACTGCTTTCTCTTCTAACCTGAAGAAGTGCTCAGCCATGGTCATTCAGGAATTCACCCCCCACCTGTTCCCCTCACAGGGGGGGTTGTCGGAGGACAGACATGAAAGAGGGGAAGGGTGTTAGCGGGACCCAGACCGCTTCCTGGTGGATAGAGGTGTGGGTGTCCAATGCACCCCCCACCCTCCTTCTTCTTCAGATCAAGCTCCAGACTAGAATTCTGCCCTGTGCATGTACCCCATCTTCAGGGGCCCTCACAGTCTTTCCCTATAGAAGGAAAAAGTCCTGGGGAACGGGTATCCGTTCCTCTCTACGTGTGTCCCAGAATCCCAGTGTTGCCCCAATGGCAGGAGAACCTGGACCTTACCCCTGACCACATCATCCCTCCAGGCTCAGGAGAGAGCTGTTAGGCATTTCAACAGCTCTCTCGTGGCAGAACCCACAGGCCGACTCCACACGATGTCCAGAGGCTCTCTCACTTTCCAATGCCTCAATTTTCCTACACGTTCCTTCATTCAACAAAAATTTATTGAGCACCTTCTACGTGCCATAAGCAGGAGGCACGGGCCCTGTGGACTCAGCAGCAACCAAGCCGGACAGGATCCTCTTCCCCATGGAATCCGCTGTCTGGTGGGGAGCGCAGAGAGAGACAGGAAAGGACACAAACAAATGAGAGAATTAGTCTGCACTAAGGGCAGTGAAGGAAAGAGCTACAGAGGTCAAGGACAGCGCAGGTGCACCTGAGAAAGGACGCTGGACCTGCCTCCGAGGAGATGCCCTGGAGCTGAGACTTGGATATGAGGAGGAATGAATTCATCAGGCAAAGTGGTGGGAGAACCTGATTCTGGGCAGAGGGAAGAGCAGGTGTGTGAGTCCTGAGCTAGAAGAAGCTGGGAACAAAGGCCGGGGAGGCTGCAGCATGGGGCGGGGTGGAGGGAGGGGAAGCAGGGCTCAGACATGCCCGACTGGGAGATACGGCTGTATTCCAAGTACAGTGGAAAGCAACAGAAAGGGTTTTGTCAGAGGGGCAACTCGACGGGACACGGTTCTATTTCGAGATGGTGTGGGCTCAGATGTGCGGTCCTGTCATTCCCCAGGGGGTCACAGTTTATCAGCCACAGCGGGAGGCTTTCTGAGCTGCTCAGTCTGGCTGCCCTCAAAAGCCAGAGCTGACTCTGAATACTCTAAATATTTCCAAGTTGTAAACTTGGTACTACTTCTGAGCCATTCTGAACAAATTCATTCCAGGTACAATTGCCCATCCCTTGGGCATCAGATACCGATCGGATTGTGTGAGGATCCTTTAAGGGCCACAAACCACACCCGTGTCCACCTGTTGCATTTCCCCCTGCGCCTGCCCAGCAGCATCACGGAACCACCTACGCGGGTTGTCAAGCTGCGTGCCGGCTGCTTAGGAATATCCAGAAGCTTTCCTGCTGTATAGCACTGACCTTGACAGCTCATTCCACATTCATTTCAAGTAGATAGCAGGCTCTTTGCATTGCAACACTTCCAGGCAGCATGTGAAAGAGAAAACTGGTCTCTTCAAAGGCTTTAAAGTTTTCACTTTAAAAAGGAAATTTCAATCTGTAAGACACTACTCGTGTATGACAACGTGTATAACATCTTGAAAATTGGGACTGCTTTGTGTGACACTCAAAGAAATCTAGCTCTCATGCCACTTCTCCCCCCCCTTTCCCCTTCATGACCCCTCTTCCTAGCTTCGATCATGGGCACTCTGACTTCCCTGCTCCCCTCCTACCTTCCACTGCTGGAGCCTCATTGCTAGAGAAATGTCCCCTCCGCAGGCTCCTCCAAGGATACTAGCCCCCAGCCAGGTTAAACCTACCATTTCCTTCCTCCTCTGCATATGAAAATAAGGTTGTTTAAAAACACAACCAAAACAAAACAAACAAAAACCTTTTCTGGTAGAAAGGTCCAGGAGAAGGGTTTTTACAGAAGAATTAGGTTGTCCCCAGAAATCTTTCTAGGCCATCCTTCCAGGCCAGACTTAACTTGCAATCATTCATTTACTTAGCACATTTCAATATGCACCTTTTGTGCTCTGAGCATCCTGCCAGGAGCTGGGGAAACAGAATTGAAGAAGACGTGGTCCCTGCCCATTGGGAGCCCGCAGCCAAGTTGTATGAGGGTTTCAGATTGATGGCTCTGACTTGTCTCATTGACCAACTGTCTTAATCTGTTTCATAGACACAGACAAATGCCAATGTCGTTGGTTACTAGAGGACCAGGTAAAAATACATGAATATTTTCATGAAAAATTATTGAAAGAAAAGACTTAAAATGCAGGTTTCGTCTGTAAAATCAATGATTTGCTAGGGTGCCCAGGTGACTCAGTCGGTTAAGCGTCCAACTCTTGACTTTGGCTGAGGTCGTGATCTCAGGGTTGTGAGATCGAGCCCCACGTTGGGCTCCAAGCTCAGTGCAGAGTCTACTTGGGACTCTGAAGTTTACTCCAGAGGTGATCTGGAAACTCTCTCCCCCTCTGCCCCTGCTCGTTTGCACACAATCTCTCTCTCTCACCAATAAATAAATCTTTAAAAAATAAAAGTAAAATAAAATCTATGATCTGACATCAAATCAGTGTTCATGATTTATGCACTTAAAATGCACTATTAAAAGACAATGACAATTCCAGGCAAAACCTTCGGATCCTCCACTGTCAACTCATGTTCATATTCCTCAGTTTAATCTATGGAGAACTGGTCAACCAGCAAACCTTCCTCCTGTGGACTATCAGCCATTTACCCTCTGTGATGTGTGGATTCACAGCATGCAGAGAACAAGTCTGAGTATTGTGAGGATTTTTACTGAGTTCCTCCTGGCTAAAACACAGGCATGGATTACATTCCTTGTTACATTGTGAACACAGTTGCCAGGATTTTTTTCATGCTCCAACTAAGAAAAACAAAACAAAATAAAACAAACAAAAAAAGGAATCACAACCGTTCATCATGAACCTGGGGAAAAGCTGCTTGTCCTGATCCAGCTGCAGGGTCCTGCAGGTCCCCCACAGCCCTCACTTGCCCATATCACTGCAGATAGCCAGAGGGAGGCAGTATTTCCCAACTGGAAACAGTCCGCAGACGGAAGCCCTGCAGAAGCAGCAGT